CGGGCCAGTGTGCGTCTAGCAGTGGTGGGTTTGTAAACAGTGCCCTTGTGCTGGGCTGAGGGGGGCCAGTCCCACTGCGCTGCATCTCATTGCCCCCAACCAGCCCCTCACTCTGCAGACCGCCCCCCATCACATGCCCTATTTCCCCAATGGGGTCCCACAAATATGTCTGGTGCCGGGCCCACAAGAAGTGAATCCAGCCCTGTTCAAACCGTGCCTACCAGCTCCTGTTTGGCTTTCTTCCTCTGTCTCTGAGTCTCCCCCGGTTTCTTGTCTGCCACTCCCCCCGCCGCTAGATTAACTCTATGCCTAACAGTCACACACACACTTGGTCAGAATAATACCCAGGTGGCACCTTCTGCCCACACGGTGCTAGTTTCTGGGCAGTTTCCATCCTGCCTTGTTGTAGGTGGGGCCCCCTACAAGGTCTCTTACAATTATCTTCACACATCAATTTCCATGAGGTTTCAACTCAACCGGTAACAAGGATTGATTGCACCCACGAGCCTCAGTTCTGGATTGGGCCCCCGCAGTGCTAGGCGCTGTACAAACACAGAACGAAAAGACAGTCCCTGCCCCAAAGAGCTTAAGTTAAGTTTGTTTGTTTTTTTGCCAAGCCCCCATTGGAAGAAAATAACACAATTCCTTGCCAACTTACCTACAAGGTGGGCGATAAGCTGCTTCCTCATTGTGCCACTGCCTTCTCTTACCAGGCAAGGAAACTGCCCCTACTTTATCCCGTTGTGATCTTTCTCAGAGGAAGTTTGCTGAGTGACACAGTTTTGACTAGGGCTTCTTTTCAGAGGGCTTTAGCTCGGCGCTCCTGTTCTTGGGACAGTTCTGCTTCCTCTGCTCAGGACGGTCTCTGGGCATCTACTACGTGTTTATTACCAGAGTACCCAAATAACACCCCAGCAATGGACAGGAAACAACAGGGGAAGTTGCAATCTTATCTATTCAGGAACTGAAAGTGGGACATGGGGTGGGGAGGTTGGTCTTATCATAGAATCATAGAAGATTAGGGTTGGAAGAGACCTCAGGAGGTCATCTAGTCCAACCACCTGCTCAAAGCAGGACCAACACAAACTAAATCATCCCAGCCAGGGCTTTGTCAAGCCGGGCCTTAAAAACCTCTAAGGAAGGAGATTCCACCACCTCCCTAAGTAACCCATTCCAGTGCTTCACCACCCTCCTAATGAAATAGTGTTTCCTAATATCCAACCTAGACCTCCCTCATTGCAACTTGAGACCATTACTCCTTGTTCTGTCATCTGCCACCACTGAGAACAGCCAAGCTCCATCCTCTTTGGAAACCCCCCTTCAGGTAGTTGAAGGCAGCTATCAAATCCCCCCTCGACTGTCCTCTTCTGCAGACTAAATAAGCCCAGTCCCCTCTGTGACGTTGCACTCCATAGTGTTTTATGGAAATATGCTTATGAGCGTGAATATAATCTAACTGGAATATGCTTTATGCAAAAGGTCTCTTGTAAGGTATCATAACAAAGCTTATAGTCTACTGAGTGTGGTCATCCTATGTGTATGTATGTGTCATTCTTGTATCTAAAACTAGAAATATAAAGTATAACTCTGAGGTCCTATTGTAATTATGTGGGCCTTTAATGGTGGCTTAGAATCTTGATGGCTCCCGTTGACTAAGACAATTGGTTCTAAATGGGTTTATTTACCTGCACGCCTTCCTGTGTACCTGACATGGGTTATGAAGA